CCAAGAGCTCAGCCATGGTGGGCACAGTGTCACTGCACCCCCAACCACTCACTTGTGGCTTCACTACCCAACTGGGGGTTTGCCATGGTGGGCACGGTGTCACTGCACCCCAACCACTCACTCACAGCTTCACCACCCAACCAAGGGCTCGCCGTGGTGGGCACGGCGTCACTGCACCCCAACCACTCACTTGTGGCTTCCATCACCCAACTGGGGGCTCACTGTGGTGGGCACAGCCTCGCCACCCAACCAAGGGCTCACCATGGTGGGCACGGTGTCACTGCACCCCCAACCACTCACTCGAGGTTTCTTGGGTGAACTCTGAGAGACCTTCCACCCCAAACCCTCCATGATTGACTGGAGGGGGCTCTGAGGGTCCTTCCACCCCAAACCCTCCAAGATTTCGGGTCTCTGAGGGTCCTTCCACCCCAAACCCTCCATGATTGACTTTAGGGGGTTCTGAGGGTCCTTCCACCCCAAACCCTCCAAGATTTTGGGACCTCTGAAGGTCCTTCCACCCCAAACCCTCCGAGATTTGGGGTCTCTGAGGGTCCTTCCACCCCAAACCCTCTGAGATCTGGGGTCTCTGAGGGTCCTTCCACCCCAAACCCCCCGAGATTCCACGAATCCCCGAGGGAAATCAGCTGGATTTTGCTGCCAACTGAAAACTCCCCCCCTGGGCCTGCCAGGGGTCGGAAGCGGCTCCGGGGCCATCGGAACGTGGCCCTTCCGTGACAACCCCCCCTTCCCCAGGCCTGGCCAGGGCAGTTCCACCAGTTCCCACGGCTCCCAAACCCCGCCCTCACCTCCGGATGATCCCGAAAAACCCCGGGTTTCACCCCTTCCCACGGGTGGGTCGCTCCGGCCACCGGGAGCCACCGGGGCCGCTCGACCCACCCAGCCCGAGGAGAAGAGGTCGGGAAGAGTTTGGGGTGGAAAAGGAGGATTTGGGGGTTCTCAGGGGCGCCCTGGGAACTCCCTGCTCCTCCGTGTTCCCTGGGAATGTCCCGGGAATGTGGGAATGTCCCTCACCTCGGGGCGGGGACCAGGGCAGCACGTGGGTGCTCTGCTGCCAGGCCTTTAATTAGCCCCACTAATTACTCATCCCTCGGATCCCCAGGAGCGGTTCCTCCCCCCGGGGAGGCTGCACGGGGCCGGGATCCCGCCGGGAATGCCGCCCTTATCCCGGATCCTGGTTATTCCCTGATCCCCCAGGGGTTCCCCACCTTCCCAGGGGGGACAATCCCGAGCCCTCCCCCTGATCCTGGAGGGCTCCAGAGTGTCCT